AGAGCGATATGGGCAAGCAGCAAAACGGTAAAACAGCAAAACAGCGCCCTCTGATTAACCTGAATAATAATAGGACTCTTTGAAGGGGGTGGAGGAGGGGGGGGGGGGGGGGGAGGGTAGGATCGTTGAAGCCTTGTTTTCTTCAAATTTATACCTAACTAGTCAAAGGTTAGTTACACAGTGATCAATGTTTGAATTACTGTTGAATATTAGATCGTTCAGTATCAAGTCTTTCGTCTTCTTTGTGCATGGCTGATCGTCAACGAAACGGAGTTAAGTCGTTTGTCAACTCTGTTTGATGCTACGACAGGCAGCCAGTGAAAACGAATTCGTTTATGGAAATGCAAGCATTACTTTAAACAAACAGAACTTTGTTATTCCTGGCATATGATTTTTCCTGATTGAGGTGTCATCTGAAAGGGCAGAAAATGAACTTTCTCGAAATGTGATTTTCTCTTTGAAATTCAGATACCGCCCTAAAAATGAGTTTTTGGTTTTGTCTCTTCAAATTGTTTTAAATCACTCATGCATGAAATATGCATCATTATGAGCAGCACCAAATGAAAGAACAGGATATAAGCTTTACAAATATATGTCATTTACTAATTGTAATTGTGATTAAGTTATGATAAAAACATCGATAGTTCTCGGTTTCGTTTTTTCTGGGACGCACTGTATAATGGGAGCTCATCCATGATCCAAAATTTTGGTTTTCTTCACGTATATATATATATATATATATATATATATTTATGTTGTCATGCTGAAGTAAAATATGTTTTTTTGTACAGTAATTTATTTTGTAATAGAAGTTACCCTCAAGGTATATGTACGGTGTCATGTGAAAAGAAAATAAATATTCGCTCTCTGGTACATTTATCTCATTTGATTTTGTAACTCCAGAGCAGCGGCAAAGAGTATGTAATTACATGAGAAAATAAAAAAATAAGGTGACTTTCTCCCGCTCTCGCTGACAATATTTTGACAGCAAGGCCCCCGAGTATCTTTTATTTCGAAATTACATTGTTCCCACACTCATTACATTTAGAAACATGATAAATAAGGGCAACGAGAGGCCCGATTAGCCCCATATTCGTGTACCAATGTCATGATCGAATATATCATTTTTATTCATGTACATTCGACGGCGATGTGCCAACATAGTACTTTAAATTGTTTCTAGTGTGTTGATTACAAATTATTTTTTACCAGTTTGAAAACGTTTTTTCCTTTTTTACTCTGGCTCGTTCGCTAAATTAAGAAACACATGTGCCAATACGTGTATAAATGGCACCTGACGAGTGCCAGAGTGATGAAAAATAAATAGTCTGTGAAGAATTTGGGATTGGGAGATACTTTTCATTTCTTAAGAGGGTACCGTGACTAACAAAAAGTTGAAATAACGTGGCTCAAGAGAAATGTATTTCATGCATTTTGAGACGCGCTGGACATTTACCTAAAACTTACATCCTTGGTGGAAACGGCAATGGCACTGGCGTTGCATAAATTATGATTAAAGGGATAACGTGCTATAGTATCTGAACAAATGTGGGTTCATGTATGGGATTTTATGGGATCTTAGCCATCTCTCAATGTGTCAGATCGTCTTTTGCTTTTGAATCATAATTGTCAACGGGGGGGGGGGGGGGGGGGGGGGGGGGGGGGGGGTTATTCTCCTCGGGGGTGGTAGTTGTTCTCGGGAGGGGGTAATTGTCCTCGGATGCACTCTAAAATATATTGGGCAAAAAATTGCCCAATTTTACCCAACACGAGGGCGATTGTGTAATTGGGTAAATACATGTAGTTATTGGGAGGAAATAACCCAAATGTTGGACAAAAATGGCCCAACTCTAATTTGCCCAATAACATTACCGAATTATTTCATCGGTTACTACATGGTTGGTAGGAAATGACCCAATTGTTGAACGACATTTGCCGAACATCGATATGCCTAGTAACACCTACCCAACCTATTTTTTAACTTTCATTAGGTAACTTCATATAGTAAATGGTTGGGAGAAAATAACCGAATTATCGGACAAAATTTGCCAAACTTCGATTTACCCAGTTGTCCTCGGGGGGTAATTCTCCGGGGGTAATTTTCCGGGGCTAATTGTCTTTGGGGGTAATTGTCCTCGGAGGTAAATTGCAAGGGGGTAATTGTTTGTTTGTTGTTGTTTTGTTTTGTTTTTTTTGGGGGGGGGTAATTTTCCGGGAATGATTGCCCAGGGGGTAATAGTCCTAGAACCGTTGAAGTATAGTAAATAAGACATTTAGAGTCTCTCACCCCCCCCTCTCTCTCTCTATAAACATCTCGATTTCTCTCTCTCTCTCTCTCTCTCTCTCCCTCTATATCTCTCTACCCCCTCTATCTTTCTCTCTCCACCTCTCCCCCCCCCCTCTCTCTCTCTCTCTCTCTCTCTCTCTCTCTCTCTCTTTCTCACTCTCTGTAAGATGTATCTGCCTCTTTCAATTCAGTCTGCCAATCTCAATCTCTCTCATTGTCTCTCTTCGTCTGATCGTATTGCTTTGGTATACTGAGGAGAAACATACGTCTATATATATTCCATATTGTCTAATGTTATATTACAAGTCTTTCTTGGAGGGAGATAAGCAGCGTTGATTTAGGATCAAATAAAATCAGCAAATAGACGATCAATCAGTGAGAATACAAGAAAAAAATACCATGATTTATTTAGGGGGTACGTCATACGGAAAGAATTTCATGCTCAGTTTTAAGAAAGTGTCAGTGATATTATAACTAGTGCGTAAAAATGAAGAACAAAAATGACAACAGATTCAATCTTGTACTACTGCAGCATTTAACATGCCATTTTTAATATAAAGAGATATAGTTTCATTTAAATCTGCAAATGCGATATACAAAAATATACCCAAGGACAAATATTTACAAATAAACAGTACTGTACCGAGAAACTTACTCTCATTAAATAAAATAATTCCTTTATTAAAAATATTACCTTTACTAGTACCTTTTCTCAATAATACTGTAGGCCTACCTTATATTTTACGCAAAGTATTACAAATTAAAAGTATGAAAATTCAATGTATGCGTAGCTGTCTACAACATACATTATGTAATCGTAAATCGTAAACCTTCGTGTAAAATAGGATAAAATTAAATTAAATGCAGAAACACTATTTCTAAAACCCATATAATCATATATGAGATATATTTATGTAATACTTCTTCATGGGCTAATAGTGTCCCTTTAAGGCATCGTTTAACAATGTTAAATGTGAGATGCATGGCCCTACGTGTTATCCGTGTCTGTGGCTATGGTGTAACATTGAAGCCCTAAAACAATTGCGCTTCAAAAAATTTATGAAGTGCCTCAAAAAAATGAAAATCTTTGAGTGACCGGTTTTTACCATACTCATTTTCACCAATAGACTGTAGTGATGTAAAAACCGTAGGAAAACGCAAAATTTGATTTCGATATCCAATCATAAATATCTTGATGATCAGACATGATAATCAGTCATGGGGTTCCTGACAGACCTACAGGTTTATAATTACCATTGCAGCATGAGCTAAATCCAGGATTTTGTTTCAGAATCTGAGACAAAGATACCCAATCCCTTTACCTTCTTCAAACAATATATGAATGAAGATCACGTTTCATTATCCCCTTGCTTTTAACTACAGAAGCGTTGTCTAAATTCATCTATTTCTAGACCAACTGAAATAATATCAAGAATGCCATAGAGATCAAGATCAAGATATTATACTCCCACGTGATGACCCTCACCAACACGATCGCAAAGACTTTCGAGGAAACACTTAGGGTGGTATTCTCGAAAACGGACTAACTTTAGTCCATGGTTTAATCCACCGACTAAGTATGGAATGCCAAGTGCCCATATGAATATATTTTTGGATAATTTGATATGTCCCTAAATTACCATGATAAAATAATTATATCATAGTTATATTATTGTTTATTCATTATATTATTAAATTTTATTTTAATTTGGTGACAGATTAAATTATTCAAAAACATATTCATAAGGACACCTGGCATTCTATACTTAGTCGGTGGATTAAACCATGGACTAAAGTTAGTCCGCTTTCGAAAATACCATCCTTAATAGTCTCATCACCTTTTTTTAAATGCGCGAACATAACAATGACGTATTAGGTAAAATAAACATGATTAAAAAACATAAGAGTTTTGACGTAGGCCTAGAACTTGAGTTCATTTTTCAAAGTTTGTGTGATTCTCTTTACCGTAATGATGATAACAAAATGATTCCCCAGGTTGGGACAAAAAGTCGTAGGTTCCTTACCTGTCAACACATGCGGACGGGTAAGTACATAGATTATGTAAAATCGATGATACATTGCATTATCAACCAGTATGTGGTTAATAACGTCAGTAACCTTACTACAATGAGCATCCACTATGAACATAATTCAACATTTTACATCATATCATATTTTATCCCGGGTAACATTCGGGAGTCTCTATAAAAAGAATAACAATTAACTTAATACCGAGCAGTCGTTTACTGACCGCATAACATAAAATAGTACTGCTTGACAATCTATATACACTTACACTAAGTATAACTTTGTACACTATGTATAAAATACTAAGCTTAATATAACAACTTTGAAGTTTTTCATGGGTAACTTATAGAGAGATTACATTAAAGGTAAAGACCAGTATTGGAAACGCCCCAATTTCTCATTACCAATCATGTGAAAGAATATGTTTTGACTAATACATGATGATAAAAAAATTGCCGGGAAACCGCCTACTAATTCATATATTTGGTAAATTTGTTTCTCTCATGGTCTGTGAGAGATATAGGGTAGTCCCATATACATCTTTCTGTGTGTAGTGCTTGTAACTTTACGAAGAATGGGCCAAATTTCTTATCATTTTGATGATTCCAGAACCTTGCAGATGCTAGATGCTAGATGATCAACCTTTTCTGATCGATTCCACAACGTTTCTTTCACAATGCAATCGCATGACCATAACTGGTCTTTACCTTTAAATATATATTTCTGAGGTATTACGGAAATCATTAAACATAAGCGTGGGATTAATGATGGCAGTTACAGAGGTCATGAAACAAATTACACCTGGGCCCTGTTTCATAAAACTTGATATTAATAACAAGTTACGATAACTGTTATTAGTTACTGAAATCGTGGTATCTGATTGGCTAAGAGCAAATTTGTTATAGAAATTTAGCAGTTTGATATCAAGTTTTATGAGATAGGCCCCAGAAACGTGTTTCGTGTCATATTAAGATAGGCTTTGCCATTATTTTACAGATCTAGACAGGGGACACGTGAACAGTTTCCCACAAACACTTCTAGATATCTGACAGTGATACATTATTGATATCTAGTAGCAATTCTACTGGCAGGACTTTAAATCGAAAGATTTTTGCAACCTCGCATATTCCATAGACATACATCTCTAGATAGACCCTGTCAACTTTTCACTTTAAAAAAACTATTTTGTCCTTTTATCTGAGTTTTGATTATGTTGGATGCATGAATGCCATGTATCAATATTATTATCAATACATCCTCAGTATATATCCTTGTATTGTATTGATACCGACCATTTCCCGAGGTGATTCTGACGGGAAGTATAGACAAAGAAACCAAAAGTGTATGTCGTAGGAGAATGTGATCTTGAAGTTATTTTTGCTTTTGATTTTGAAGTGTACCTCCCTGCATCCCCAAATTCATAATGCTCCAACGATTATCCTAAGCACTCCTTTATGGAAAAGGTATTCTAAGCCTAGACGTGCGACTTGAATAAAATGACTCCGCAAAATGATCTTTGCGATGCCATTTTTAAGTAAGTTTAGTGACGCGATAGGTAGATAGAAATAGGCATGCTCCGCCGAAAGAGAGTTCTGTCCTGACAGGCTAAAAGGGCTTATGCCGAAAAGGTGGGTAGCGGCGCGTCGCGTCGCGTTGACTTGAACGCAACCATTCGTCCAAAGCCCCCCCCCCCCCCCCTCCCGGGTTGTGCCGAAAGGGTGGGTCAGGAGTGTCGCGTCGCATCGCGTTGACTGGAACGTGAGCATTCGTCCAAAGCCCCCCCCCCCCCGGTTTTGCCAAAAGGGTGCGTTGAATAGTCTTCCACATCAGTCGTTTATAATAGAATTTAAGGAATAGTGACGCTACCCACCCTTTCGGCAAGCATAAGTCGTCTGAAAGTGTCTCGTCTGATACTGCCTAGATTATAAGTCTTTGTTCATCGACTTCCACCATGCATCCACCATAATGATAGTGAAGGTGATCGATGGAGAGCAATCTATGCAATGGTATCCAGTTCGTCTTGGCTTGCAAACTCTTCTTTCATCCCGCCATCGAGTTCCGATTGCTCGCTCGGCGATTTGTACGTCACCAGTCCGAGGATGAGACAAGTGGTGGCGATGACTTCGCAACTGGCGGTGAGGATCAGGAACCCCCGAGCGGACATCTTGTTGTCGTAAAGCCAACAATTGGCCGAGCCGTCACAGTTCGTCTCCCATAGCAGACACGAGCTATCCAACAGTATTCCAAATACTATGGGACCAGGTACAGATCCTGTGTAAACAAAATGACAAACGAGACGGAAATGATGAGGTTAAATTTTCTGGCACGACCACAAAATGCTAGGATCGCTAAGCCTTATTCTGAAAGGGCTTTCGAGCCTGTACTATTGCAGTAGAATGGTGTATCTGGCGGGGGGGAGGGGTGGGGGCGTTTAAAATGATGCGGATACATTGTTATTACGTTGCTAACAAGACTTTGAATTAATTTCGAATCTCGAGTGCGCAAGATACTTTGTTCGGATATTGCAATATTTACATAAAAGCATATAACAACTCTAAATCACGTTGAAGGGGAACGTCGAAACAGACTAGTTCCTAGTCTTTAAACATCGGAGTAGTTAAAATCGCGTGCATGTGCGTAATATGCTTACACAGGGTCATTAGCATAGAGGTATATATATAGTAGATTCTTACCTAACAGACCGTAGAAGAGTGTTTGGATGCCCATGGCAAACGCCCTCTGGCTGTGAGGCACACATCTGGTAGAGAACAAAATCACATGCAAAATCACATAAAATGAATCAACAGAAGCGAATCCATATGTTACCGCCACACTTCCAATACAATATGTTACCTCCCCGAACTATTTTTGATTATATATACCTATTTTGTATTTAGGAACTCAACTTCTCCTTTTCTACACCCCTTTCAAGCCTAAATTGTGATAAGCACATTTTTCCTGTCCTAACGTAATAATCCTACCATTTTGTATGAGCATATATTTTGTTTATGTTTTACGCCGTTTGTAATTTATCAAATTCATGCACATGTTATTGTAAAATCATTTGTGATTCAGCGCTGATGACTATTGAATAAATACCATTAGTATTATTATTATTATTACTATCATTATAAGAATTTGATTGATTGAACCTGCCCGACAGGTGAACAAACAATTTATTATGTGATCTGGTAACAAAAAGAAAACTGAAAATACAAAAAGTGGCCTCTGTAAACAGGTGGTGTTTTAGACAGACAAAATTCCTTCCTAAAGGGGGGCAATGCAGATGACCACTTTTGACAGGTGGTTTTTATAGTAATATAAGGGGACGATTTTTAAGCTGACTGTCCACTGGGTTTCAAACCCTACCTCCGGCCGTTATTTAAAGCATGTATTATATTAAAACAAGAAAAATTTTAAACAAATGATTGGAAATAGGTTTCGTAACGGTCATTACCTGATAGTAGCCGTCCAACCCGATACACCCGATATAGCACCAAGCATGATTATGACGGCTAAGCCTACAAAGTAGAGCCATCTATATGAGCATGACGAGGAACAGGCACCCCACTCTACGGTTCCAAGCCCGCTAGGTGATTCCAAGTCCTGTACACATTTGCATTCGCTGAATATCTGAACAGAAAAACAAAAGGGTATCATAGATTACATTTGATTTCAAATGGGTTCAATTGCTTTTTCTGATACATGAGAGTAAAGATTTATTTATTTATCTATTTATTTTGTTTTATTTACCCAGAGTAACCCCATCAATAATATAATATAAATATAATACTAGATTTAAAAGGCTGAGTAAGACTTTTTTTTTTACTTTTCCGAACCGTGGATGACCAGATATTATTTTTCACTTAGGAAATAACCCCTTGATAATTCAGTAAATAATAAGAATAAAAATCGGTTTCATTAATAGTTGTGAAGGGTTTGGAAAGAAATGTACACTATCAATTATATTTTGACAAAAAAAAAAACAAAAAAAAAACGTACCACTTCCCCGGTGCTCAAGATGTCTACTTCACAGCCAGCGTGACAGGCCGAGTAATACTGGATCCCATCGCTCCCGCATACTGGATCATAGCTGCTTGAACAAGAGCAGCGCGAGTTACACGTAGCGTTCAGTTCGAACGAGCCCTCGAAAGGTTCACTACAAAGAAATCATTAAAAAGGAGAGAAAACGAATAGTTAATAAAACTATTTAGCAAAATGCATGGTGTTATTTATGAACAGTAAGTTGTGCGATCATGAGACATTAATTCTTCAACCTGTAAGTAAGCAACGCTTTGTTTTCATGCTTGTAACTGGGGTTTCCCAAATTAAACTTGTTCAGTTTAGGTACCTTGCTTTCTACAAATTTTCTTTAGATTACACCTACATTTCGCCCCGTCTTATAGTCTTGTTTTACAGAAAAGTCTTCACTTGACTGTGTCACATATTCGTTAATCTTTATTGATACAAATTATTGCGTTAGTTAAGAATGAAGAAAGTCAAGTAATAGAGGGTGTTTTGGGCTAAGTAGTACTGGCGGATTTAAGGGGGCGCAGCCAATCAGTGCCCCCGTCTAACATTCCAATCTGATAGTCCTTAAAGAGAAAGTTGAGTTCAGGAAGGGTCAGAAAGTTTCAAAAATTTAATCAAGATATATGACTAAAGTAAGATGACAATATGATTAATTACACTATTTCAGATACAGAATCGTGATTCAAGTTGTGCTTATAGCGCGGAACCGGGACATACCTGTTTTTATATCCTACGGTCACTCCAGCGAAGTCGACGGTAGGGCAAACTGCGAAGAAGATTCCACATGCGAAGATTGCCAGGAAGGTAGAGATGATGCTTTGCCTCATTAGACCAGGGAACTTGAGATCCAAGCGATTGATCAAGATCCCACCGATGAGGGCGCCTGTGATGCCTCCCACGACCGAAATAACGCCTTGAAGAAAAGAACATTAAACGCCGAGGGAATAAGGCGATTTAATTTGGTCGTGTGTCTTTCATGTAACGAAATGTAGTTCGTATTTGCGCGATAGGGATGTACACAATGATTCCTTATTTGAGTTGGGGACTTGTTTTGATATACCGTTGTGCATTATGTACTATATTGCTTGACGTGAAGGTGACGCCCTGTAGGAGGTGCAGTGAATGAAATGCTAAATAACAAGGCAGTCTACAGTAGTAGGGCGTGGAAGCGAGTTATACCGTATTCTCTTCACGTTGTTTCATGTTTACCTCCTTTACTTTTCCCGTTCGATATTGAGGGGGGGGGGCGTGCCCCCACGTGCCTCCGTGCCCTTTTACGCCATCCCCCACCAATCATCAAACCACCAATCCCTTTCCCCCCTTGACTTACCCATGGCATAAGCGGCTTCACTCGGAGTCATGCTCAGCTGGTCCTCCGCGTACTTGGGACCGAAGACGCTCACACCGGCCACCATGAAGAACGCCGCGACAGCGCCCCCATTCAAGAACATGAAAGGAAGGTTGGTGCAGAGACTGAAAATGGCACGGGGTAAGGCTTTGAGATGATTAAGTGCACCCTTCTCGGTGGTGAAATCGCGCCCTTTCTGCGTCTCCACTCGTCGCTCCGCCATTACTTTCTCTCGCTCTGGAAAATCAGAAGAAATCAGAGAACATAAAAATATGCGAAGATTTACGCCTGCGTGTGTGTCTCATATCTCAGAGTTCACGGTTCGAATCTCAAACTGGGACCCAACTGCCGAAAGGAGGGGTAAAACAATGGTCCTGTAGATGTACTTTATCATAATTCATTGATTCATCGGGCTTTTAGATAAAGCCTGGCTGTGGATTGAAATGAAACTTGTTCATTTTGTCTCCACTTGTGTTTTGGAATGCACATGCGGTAGGTATTTTATGTTCCGTCAGTGATTTACGATGGCCAACGGTCATGTTCAGCTGTATGTTTGCATAAGTAGTTTGCATTTGGCGGAAGCTGAATTGCTGTACGCATAACGACCTCATTCGTCTATCTAAATCCTGGTGCTTTATCTATTTTTTCCTTCACATTTTATTGAAAAGAGAATTAAAGCAGCTAATAACATGCAGTACTACATCAATTATTATATAAATCTATCATCATCATCATCATCATCATCACCATCACCATTATCGCAACCATCATCATCATCATCATCACCAACATCGCAACCATCACCATCATCATTATCATCATCACAACCATCATCATCATCATCATCATCATCAATATCATCATCAGACATCATCATCATCATCATCATCATCATCACAGTCATCATCACCATCATCATCACAACCATCATCATCATCATCATCATCATCATCATCATCACCATCATTACACCATCATCATCATCATCATCATCATCATCATCATCATCATCAACATCATCTTCGTCATATTGTCACTTTACCTGGCAGAGCCTTTGGGAATCCCATATAGATGAGTGTAAAGATGAAGAGAAGAAGACCGTTCATTAGGAATCCTATCCACCAGGCACCTACCCACAGAGGACTATTCACATCGATGTTAAGGCTATAGAAAACAAAATGGAAGTCAATTCTTGCTTTCAAAAGGTTATTTCAAACAAGCAAAGGCAAAACTGATAAGAAATACTATCAAAAATTCGGGCTTTTGATAAGTGAAATAAGTGTTTCAGATTCCCGCTTAAAGTAGCATGTACTTTTATCGAGGTTCATTTCGTAAAATGATTTACCGTATTGTATTATATTCTTTTTAAAGTCACAATGCATATGCATAAATAAAGCAAGTAAAACCAAACCCTGACCTCGAAGGGTCTTCTCTTGCAGGCACTTGTTAAGACCGTCAATACTACTGGGCCAGAAGGGATTATACCACACAGCGAGGTCACTGACGGTTGGCTATCTCATTAACTCAGCTCTCAACTAACATAAGAAAAAGAAGATCATGGGGGACCAACAGGCACCGATTGGGGAAGTCTTCTATATAGAGGGAGCAAGTAGCTACAAGTAGGACAGTGGGCCTTTAAGAAGTAAATGTTATTCCTTTTCCGGAAAGATTGCGCATTGAAAGAATGTAAACCACCAGTTATGTTCATTCAGTGCATACAGCAGCATCTTGAGTCAATATTAATGATATTGAAGAAAGAATAGCTTCTTTGATAAACAAAGGTATTTCTTAGTTTGATATTGATGGGATAAGAAGGAGGAGAATAGATATCACCTTCATTACAATTAACAAAAAAGTATAATGACCATGGTAATCCTACCTGTTTTCATCAACGTTGAGGTCGGTGTAAATATTAAGGAAGGCCCCTCCTATGATGTAACCAAGAGAAGGCCCTACCACAACGATCGATTGGTATATGCCTGTAAATTGTAAAATAATTATGAAAATGGTTTTAGTGATATTGAAAATAATAGCTTTATTTACAATGCGTTCGTATCTCAAGGGACGCGGTTGGAGCTTGCAAAATATTGCTAGTTCCATTCCATGGTTTGAGTCCGGCACCCCCTAAGGTACGTACTAGAAGTATCCAAGGTATAATTCCTACCAAGTACCCATATACCTGGGTGGAGAGTAGAATTCGTAGATTAATGTCTAGTAAAAGACAGTGGCCCGGGTGAGATTCCAACAGCAGACCACAGCATTGTGGTTCAACTTGAAGGTAGTGTAACGGAATTCAATAATAAAATAAATCATATCAAGGATAGCCATTTTGAAGTCTTCGACTAAACTGGTAAATAGCAGGCAAAGTTTTTTTTCAATTGATTACTTGATGTCTTGATGTTAAAACTTATTCGAATTGTTTTCAGAATCCTAGAATGCTAGAATGCTAAGCTAAATAGTATTATTTTTAGTGTATCCATTCTAGATCAATGAGTGTCGGATAACACAAGTGGACCATGATTTTAGCAAGGAAAACACAAACACACAAACACACACACACACAATTGTTGAAGTTCAAGAAAATGAAGAAAACACAAACCCTCTTACCCATGAATGTGCCAAATTGTCGGGAAGAAACATTGTCATCCACGTAGGCCACACCGAGCGTGTAAAGAGACGCAGCTCCGACGCCGTGTAATATCTACAATTATTTACAAATAAAATATAGGAAGAGAGCGGTTGAGAGAGAGAGAGAGAGAGAAATGGGGAGGGAGAGAAAGAGAGAGAGAGAGAGAGAGAGAGAGAGAGAGAGGGGGGATGATATGAGAGGAGGGGAGAGGTGATTTGAGAGAAAATTAATATCAACGAATACAACAATGAAAGTTATTCCAAAAATATAATACTTTTGGACCGATAAAATGTGCATCCTAAAATAAAAGAATCCTCAAATTTATTTCGGTAAAAATTATTTAGCTTCCGTATGGCATTCCTTGATTCCCTTTTAACACATCAATTATCTTATAAGATAAGAAAATAGTGTCTACATGGCGCTTTTTGGCGCCAATAAAATATCTTGAAATTGATTACATGACGCATGTTACCTGGGCAACGATGAAAAACCAGTAGTAGCTGGATAAAGGAGTGTCCTCTGAACCCATCATGCCGTCAGCAAGCTGGTCACAGGTGGTAGTCTCGTTTGGCAGACCGCAGTAGCCTGAGTCCACCTCTTGGTGGACGTAATTTGGCGTTACGAAATGAGGGATGGCGAAGGTGATGGACCCTGGATAGCATACAAAAATACTGAAGTTATTATGATTGTTGGTTCACTATATACCTCTATTTATTTTCTTTACTGGTTGTGTTTCCAAATCCTTAAGTCAGAGTTAAATTGGAAATCGGGTATTAAAGAGAAGGTTGCGTTCTGGGGAGAGGTGCAAAATAATTTGTGAGCGTTATCATCGTTATGATGCAAGTGTGGAAGAACACCAGAGAAAATATGTTTCCTGAAAAGCATGGCTCTCAAATGCCTTCATATTCTAAATATGACAAGTAATAGCTTGAAAATGGGGCCATTCTCTTATTATGCTGGCATACAATGGTGCTTTACGTATCAATGTTGTATCGAAAATGTTTTGGGTATAAATAAGATTCTGTGCTACCTGGAAGATTAAGATTGTTCGAAAATCGAATATCACGAATATGGAGTCTCCAAATCTCTCTCCCTCCCCACCTTCACGCACTCTCTCGCTCTCTCTCTCTCTCTCTCTCTCTCTCTCTCTCTCTCTTTTTGTTGGGGGGGGGGGGGGGGGAGGGGGTGCTATTCATAAAAGATCCAATCGAGTCTTACCTGCGCAGAACAGCATGCAGCCATAACCCACCCAGAGTGGTCGATGTCCCCTCTCGCCCATATAACTGACGATAACAGCTATGATAAGCGACGAAAAATCATAAGCACTTGATATGCTACCAGTCTGCAAACTGGTCAGGAAGAAACGTTTCTCCAGGGTAGAAAGGCCGATGAAGACGAAGCCAAACGCCGTCATGCCTTGTATGAGGGAGACCAGGCATAGCATAAAACAGTAACCCAAGGGCGTGTTGAAGGCCTGAAGGTGAATAAGTGAAGAGCAAAATACATTTACATTAGCCACGACTGGATCCTCGTTACGTCATATAGTATCTTCGTTATGCCCGTTGCACATGTGGCATCATTAGGGACTTCAGATTTGCACGTCGATATGGTTGACTGCTACATGTGACGTCCTTTTAAGGCACTGTCATTGCCTTAAAAGGACATCACAGTGCCTTAAAAGGACTTGACACGTAGCAGTCCACCATGTCGACGTGCAAATCTAAAAATCCCTATTTGCCTGACGTAGGACTGCGTCAGGGACTAGCGGGGTCGTTGACGCATCATTTGAGAGTGAGCGCTTACACTAAGCAAATGCAAAATTAACAATGCAAAAACAATACTTTGAATTAATGGTACTTGCGCATATGCTAAATGCCGTGTTGAAGGGCTTGTTGAAGGCCTGAAGGTGAATAAGTGAAGAGCAAAATACATTTACATTAGCCACGACTGGATCCTCGTTACGTCATATAGTATCTTCGTTATGCCCGTTGCACATGTGGCATCATTAGGGACTTCAGATTTGCACGTCGATATGGTGGACTGCTACATGTGACGTCCTTTTAAGGCACTGTCATTGCCTTAAAAGGACATCACAGTGCCTTAAAAGGACTTGACACGTAGCAGTCCACCATGTCGACGTGCAAATCTAAAAATCCCTATTTGCCTGACGTAGGACTGCGTCAGGGACTAGCGCGGTCGTTGACGCATCATTTGAGAGTGAGCGCTTACACTAAGCAAATGCAAAATTAACAATGCAAAAACAATTCTTTGAATTAATGGTACTTGCGCATATGCTAACTGCCTTCAAAACTTGATTATAGTAGTAGAACATGATTAGCGTACGTAGTAACACATGAAGTAGACGAAATCATGCCACTTGTGCGATGGGCAATTGTAAATACTTGTAGTGCTCTATACTAAAAGTTCAAAATGCACAGACTGTAAACTTATTATATCGAAAATGTTATCCTTCACTACGATGTATAATCATTATTTAAGCAAAAATATCAAATTTCTACTAAAATTGAAATAAATGATTTGTCAAAGTAGTGTTTTCTTATCTTTTGAATACAAAAAAAATGAACGATTCATCCTTTTTTAATGAATCGCTCGAAAAATTGCTCGAATAATTTAAAGTTTTAAACCACAATTTTTGGTATAAGTGGAATGAAGTGTTATACGAACATAAGGAACATAGGCGTTGTGGCGTGCGCCTGTAATCCAGCTAACAGTGGAAGTTACAAACTGATTCAGCCGAGGACGCAGGTTCGAAACTGAGTCACGTCTTTCGGATGGTGACGTTTAAAGGTCGGTCCCCAGACGTAAATAATCATATCTGATTGATACACGTCTGTAAAAACCCAATACACACACACATATTAATATGGATGTTGACGTAATTAGTAGGAAATTAAAAAAAAAAGTAGGCTTGGAAGAGAAAGGAAATTGAATGAGGAGAGAAAATAAAGGATAGACTACCGTTTGTATCCTCCAGTACAATGAAAAACAAAAGAAGAAAAAAAAAACATTATTACAGGCTTAACTGATTATATCTTTAGTTTGTCTGTTTGTTTTTGTGAGATGAATAGTTGTAATGGTTAGGGTTAATTAGTTTAGAGTTAAGATTATAAGGTTAACCTTAAGTGTACTGGGTAATAGTATAAATGAACTATTCCCGGAACAATCTGATTATATAAATTCAAAATAAGTAAAAAAAAAATATATATATATATTAATTGATACAGCTTAGTATGCGTTATATACGCAACAAAGAAAATGTAATTTCAAACATATACGACATTTATTTAAAGGAAATATTATGGAGGGCAAATGTTGAAAAGTATCACCTCTGGAAAAAATGTTGATTATTTAAAAAAATAAAGTATTATTGATTTTGTGATATGCGTTTTTCTTTGTAATCAAAATGATTATGTGTGTTTTTTAAGTAAGTATATATTATTAAATTAATATTTGATGGGGAAAAAAAAGAACAAAAAAAAAACTGCTCCAGGATGGAAGTTCTCATGAAAATTGAAGCTTACCTGCAAGCATTTTGGACGAAACCACAGCCATCCGAACTTTGTCTCCACGTTGTCATTGCCGTCTTGGTCGACGGTGTCATCTCTCTCAACCTTTGACACGGATGTCAAACGGTGCTTCCTCTCATCCTCCTTCACATCGTCACGTTTGGGGGCTGATGGGTTAAGCAATGAATTATAAAACTGTTTCGGCCTTCTCCAACAATCTTCCATTCTGATTAAATATCCAAACAACTCAAAGCAAACACTCTACAATATGTCGTGAAACAATAAAACTCCTCTTCCGCGTAGCTGTTCCACCAGGAATCTGCATAAAAGAAATATTCAATGAAGGACTTTCGCTAAATACACTCGATTTTTAGCTAAACCAGGTCCAACAGCAGCTCTTGTATATGTGAGAACCGAACACCTGCGTTGGGTAAGTCACTCAAAGTGGGTTTTTACTGGCAGGTATTGATATAAAATGACTCCGTTCCTAGCGTTCTTTCACCACCCGTGCACAATTTTTGTATGTAGTTTGCATGCCATCAGGCATCGCCCAGCGAAGGGAAAGTTGTGTCAATACAGGGACAAGAAGCTCTTGAAAGAAAAACGGGGCCACATCGATACTTTTTCCCTTTTGTAATGAAAACTAAGAAGCTTGCTTTAAACGTCTACACTCCTTCGAATCCCTCGCTCTCGCAAAAAAGCTTTCTGACGTCTGGTCGTGCAAAATTTGGCAATGCGAAAGAGTACTGATACCCAATTTATGATCCGCAAGCGACAAATTGTGCCAAAATTCTTCCCCCAGAATATATATATATCCGCAGAGAGTTCATCTAATGATACGTCGTTATTCATGTGTGAGTGTCCTGCAAGCTAGAGTGTCGTTAAGCTGTGAATAATCCACGGAGAAAATCTGAGCAATGATACGCTGGGTATCACATGAACAATAATGATTAATGAAGTGTTTCAAGATAAATCGGGTATAGGAATACGGGTACCTTTGTAACGTATTCAAAGAGCTTTTCTTTCAGCTCTCAATGAGGGTGGGTCTTTTAGTACGCAAGACCGGACAGAGACGATAATTATATAAGGGGGATAAAGAGCCGGTCACATTTCACCGGTACATGTATAATATACATTATATACATTATCATGTAGTAATATTCAGACATGTGGTCAACTCTTGAGGTGGAGTATTCCAAAGTTGCTCATAGACCGATTTTTTTTTGGTTATTGTTATTCGTTTTGGTGAAGGGGTGACCGGCCACTAGCCCGGTTAATGATGTCAGTGAGCTATAAAGATGTACCTTGATCTGCTTTAAGAAAGAGGGTGTCCATACATATGTCTTAGATTAACTGAAGAATACTCCACCAATTATTGTTTCATGTATATGGACAGTTAATGCAAAGAGTTAGGGTTAGGGTTAACCGTCAGTTTTAAGATTAAGGTCATGGTTAGAGTTAGTTTAGAATTAAGTCTTTGGATTTAGCCTCATTGGTAAAGCCGGGTCTACCAGCGGACTTATGGTCTTATTAACTTCCATGGTGGGTTATTCTAAGATTGCTCCGACCTCTTTCTGGCATAGCATGGACAGCACAAATAGACCGCCTTTTAAATCTGCGGCACAGTTCGGGAAACAATTAAAAATATTGAGAAGGCTATGCTTGGTTTTGTGTTCAAGTTATTAAAAAGAACTTCTTATGATAGAAAATTACTACTATACTAAATATTGAATTGAGATTAAAGGGCTCACGTTAGACATTATTCAACAATTATTTCGCCGTGGGATTCCAGGTCTCATAAATTCCTTAGCCTTGGGAGTATTACTTCCACAAACATGTGACTAGAGTTTCGTGAAAGTGTGGCGCGCCAAAAGAAAGCAAGGGTGTTTAAAGAGTGACAAATGTATGTCTTGCCGAAGGATGTTGTAGTGCCGTGGCGAAGATCCAAACCTCAGAAAATGCGATTAACATCATCGCAACAAAGTCATTATTCGTTATGTTTTCAACATAAATTTCAAACCCTATACAGAATGAAAATACGGTCACATGGTAATTAGAATTAAAGAACGAATGCCTGCCTGTTAGTCCCAAACCCACATCCCCGAAAATGTTTGTTTTGTTGTTATAGCGGCAATCTGTTTCGGATTGAGAAATTGGCTCTACGTCAATTTTATTATATTGCAATACATGCAGATTAAGTCCAATTCGGTCAATGCTCTTCAGACTACAGTACCGTAAAACGAGGAGACTCACTCAAGTTCATTTCTATGTTGTATGTTGGTCTAAATTTAGCCATACTGCTAAGGATAATCCATTTGCGTGCAATCAGTAGTCCAGGATAGTGGCTACAGGAGCATAGGGGCATTTTCTCATAAAATCGAACGGCGGAATAAATAAGATTTACATGTGTATATATATAGTTAGAGAGAGAGAGAGAGAGGGGGGGACGTGATCCACTCACGCATGCTCCTCCTAATAAATAATAATTCACATTCAACACATCTACTCAGACCGCAGCCCCCCCCCCACCCATATGATACCAGAGCCCCCATGATGACCACAAAGCCCACGCTACTCCCACGCTACTCCCACGCTCCCAAGTAAATCTTGCAGTATGATTAAATATCTTTATCCTTTAAGACCGTTTTTTTTCGGCCGGCGCGATTTTCAAATTTTCGGGAGCAAAAAAAAAAAAAAAAAATCCTGGATCCGCGCCTGGCTCTGTCTGTCCTTCTCCCTCCCTTCCTTTCCTTAATCCTTTCCTTATGCACATAATATGCATCTCCCTAGATCCGATCTCTGACACGCACACACACGCACACGCACACACGCACGCCACGCAGGCACACACAGACACACTATCCTTTCTATCCAAGCATAATAATTTATGGGTATACGCAAGAAAACGATCAAGTCAGAATAGTATAAAATATTATTTTGCATATCCATTTCACTTTTCGATTGAAACAAAGAGAAACTAAGAGACAACATTAAACAAGCAATCAAACATGTTTTTGGAGTATCCATGTAAACACCAACGAAATTGGGTCGCGGTCGCATACGTAATCCAGAATCTGGCCGGTTTTTCATATAATTATACGCTCACCAGCCCAGCCTTAGCATGATAATTTAATAATGATCACGCCATCTTCGGCTGGTAGCAAGTAAGTGGCGAGAAGTAGCGTTGATTTGGTGGAAATCAAAATTAAATAGGCCAGATTCTGGACTATCGGAAACGGAAAGTGGTTTGTTATACTACAGCAAGGCCATCGGTGTGGTTAGTCACTAACGACCAATCATTACATAATGTCGCTTTGTCCGATCATGGGGCGTGGTCAAATGGTCAAACTAACCGATTGATTCAAGTCATTTTTTCTTTCCATTTTTTTTTTTTTTTTTTTTTTTGGGGGGGGGGGGTTTAAGTTTCATGGCCGATCAAAAATGTTGGTCAGACTAACGATTCATATTATTATTTTTTGACAAACATCTACAACCTAATAATGCTTTTGGTCGGCATCGTTCGATCATTCTTGAAGTATCAAGATCATACTCCTCACGAATATATGCTTAGGACCTACCTCAGAGAACAAGAGCCAAGGAAATGGAAAAAGAAAGAGGGAGATATAGAGAAGGAGGGAGGGAGGGAGAGAGGGGAGGGACTGAGAGTTTAAGAAGGAGAGAAGAGGGAGGGGCAGTATTTATTCCTTCCTATTACAAACCAAAGTGACGACTCTCTAGTCTCGGGGAAAACCTGCAAAATGGTCGCTTTTTGAAAAATGTTTAGGCTTCGCTTATTTTATTTCAAATGAGACTGTACATTTAATATGACACTGTTTTCCCTTCTAAATCCAGCATCGGAACTTGGCAAGGAAATTAGAGTTGCGGTTTATAGTAAAACATCTAACCCAGTAATTCTTGAAAATCGCAAGCTATGAAGTGAATGGAATAGGTATTTGGCTGCCAATCGTGTACGTCGGCTTCCGTTAGATAGTAAACTAGGCGAGTCATCGACTAAGAGAGGAGTGTTGGATAGGTTTGTCTCATTTTTTCCTTTCACGTTGCTTTCAACCTCGCCTTCTTTCTCCTTTTCGCGCCTCCTTTTTCGCACTGGTTTGTAAGGCATTTATCCTCACTACCAGGTCCCTCGGAGTGGACCTAAAGCCGTCGGTCCTCTAATTGCTTACTAACAAGCATCTATGCCTTCTTAGCAGTCAGGTAAAATAACCGCCACTACAACTTTGATGGGGGGGGGGGGGGGGATGCACCTCCCAATTTGCCATCCCCGTCACAACACCACAGACATGAGTAATGTAACGCCCTCAGGCTTCAGGGTGTTAAAGGAGTCAAGTGCACCATCAAGGATGGAGTTAAAGCGGAATCGGATCATCCCTCTTCCTGTTCGCCAATGGCCATCCGCGACGATAGCCAAAATACACAGCTCCTGTCTGACTTGTATCACTCTGACCTGGCTTGCCCAATAATCACAATTCATTACATTTGCTCACAGAATTATACATCTTTTAAATGGGTGAGCCTTACAAGTATCCACTCATTTTAATATTTAAAATTCACATAGAGAAGGCAACAACATTCCATGAAACTTCAAGTAGAAATTATTAATTGTTCCCAGCTCTGGGATAAATTGAAACCAGATTAAGCACGTCACGTTTGGCCTAATAACGGTGCCAATGACATGACAGATATCATGTTATGGTACTTGCAAATATTACATTCCTTATCGGAGTTTTAATCCAATACATTTCATTTGTTTTAAATGTCCATATTACAATTATAGGGTTTTTCACATGCATCTAAACTTGCTTCTGGCATTATGAAACGGGTTTCATATCTATTTTTGCTGGAAGTTTGATCTTTGACCTAACCCTTTTAAAGTAGTTTAAAAGATTTGTTTTCAGGTTTTAGTTACTACTACATGTATATTTCAGAGCCGTTAGAGAGGCCACCTTCACCTTTAGGTTTGTTTATTCCCCTCTTATCGGTCTCAAAAATGGTAATTGTTACTTTTTAAAGTTCACCTTCGCTTACCTCCGTTTGTATGTAGGCCTATGCCGACGTTCCCCGTGGATATCACGGCGATTCCATTCCCATTGGACACAGTACTTGCTATTGGGTTGTCATAGACGTAATCACTTCCGGTTTGACTGCCTGCGTCCGTTTTGTACTTCCGGTTCCCCATCTTGTGAAAGTGTAGGTAACTGCCCGTTTAGATCTTTGCGATAAGACTATCCGAATACCTGTGGTTTTCCGAGTGCTTGTGAATGAGGCCCGAACTATGAACTAAGTCAGATGAAATGTTTGTTTTACTTTTGTCGAGTGTTACAAATGTAACTGTATAGAGCTCGATCGCTTCCGCAATGAGTTGATGGAATTACGTATCTGTCCAAACTTATTTAAAACGATGAGAAATAAGACGATGTGAAATCTTTCATTATGTCTAAGCGTATGATGTCAGATGATATCAAATCACGAAACTAAAAACAATACTGCAGTTGATTAATAAGAAACTAAGTATATGACGATTAAAATGTCCTGTGGAAACTTTGACGTTAATGTCCGATATAAACCAGTTGCAGGTAGAGATCCGCACTCTAAGAGCTAAAACGACGAGTACGCTTGCTTACAGGTAGCAGATGAGACAACGATGAGAAGTCAATGACAATCGTAAACAACATCTCAGTTCATGATAAATTCCCAGTTATTGTATCATGTATCATATATTAATAGGGATGCTTCCTTCTCTGGTGTCCGAAATCGTCTGAAGTAATCTTTGAGAACCGGCTATCACTTATAAGCTTCTGTCTTCAAAAGCCTAAAGAGAGCATTTCCAGTGGCGTGTTTTTTATAATCAAATATATACCATGGCTACCGAACAGCTGCGTGCCAGGAATCTGATAATTCGGTACAATGAATTATATACGTCACATTAATTTAAAAATCGATAGTCACCATCGAAACTTCGGGAATAAACAAATACAGAGTCGTGTTTCGGGCGAGCGTGACCTCGGGAGCAAGTTTTTCTTGTGACGTATTGAACTCGCCCTGAGGAAGACCTTCTGCAGGTTCGGTGGATCAAGGACCAGTTCCTGGACGGTGGAAAGAGAAGGAAGCAAAAATATCAAAAATGAATCAACAGGAAATCATGATCTGGTTTATAAAAACATAATCAATTTTTTTTTGTGCAAAGAAATCGGGGAAATGAAAGGCTACATTATTCAGAAAAAAGTTAGGCGATTTATTTGAAGAAATATCAAGAAAAACCAGAAATATTGATTACCAGGATATTGATTACTTTCGATATTGATATGTTCCCTACGTAAGATATCTTCGATTGTTCTCAGTTTATCTACAGATGCAGTGGCACGTAGAATACCTTTGATACGACCAACCTAATGAACTCTTTACGTGCATGTACCCTCCTCAAGATCGCCACGTACGTAGCTTGTTGGAATTGTTTGGGTGCGAACTTTCGATCAATTGGTGTGGTTTTTGTTTCCCCCAAAATAAAACCCCTGCGCATCTTTCTCACATGACATAGGATGTATTACGTAGGGATCAAAGTTCGAAAGGTTTTACGTGGGTGGAAAAAGTTGATGGCTCGTCCATTCAGACCCAATTAATTACGCAATTAATCATCTTTACAATTTGAGATCCCTAGCGTAACGCGTAAATTGACTTATCAAATTCAGACCCCTTTCATTACCCAATAAACCTTCTTTATAATATAATGTCTCTAGCATAACACTAGAATTTATTTATAAAATCAAATCATTCAGTAGTCTAACTAGTTCACTGAATTGTTGTAGACAAAAGTTTGAAAAACCATCACAATTATTTATCATCACTTGTATCACCATCAACATCACTGCCCCCACCTCCAGATCACTGTCTGTATCGCTGTCATTATTATTATTATCACACAGCTTGCATATCATTATAACTATTGCTACCACTATCACTATCACTATCAAAATCACTATCCCTATCAATATCAATATCACTATCACTACCACTATCACCATCAATATCACTGTTTATATACCTCACTTTAGAAATGCCATCTGATTGGTCGAAATTTGAGTCGTGATTTTAACCATGCCCGCTTACCAGTCAACAGTCATTTTAAAAGTGCTCACATAACCATCTACCAGTCAATAGACTTTTGAAAAGTGCCCTCATGCTGCGATCCCCATTGGTTAACGTGTTAAAATTGTCTTTGTGCGAGCGCGGACACCAAACAGTGCTTTTTGACTGCGATTCCCAAATGATTGAAACTTTCAGTCATTTTTCCAGCCAAAATGAACAGACAGTGTCTCAAATTTTCCGTGATGTCTTAACCAATCTTTACTCAATTAAATGGATAAGGTAAGAATTCTTGGTAGATTCTTCTTTCAATTCGGCATAAAAAAAAGACATATCGACTGCTTTAATATTCGAGGTCTGGCTGTTTTAAAGGCTCTCGAGAACGTGCACATCCACCTAGGCGCGCCTCGGGTTCATGGCAGGATGTGCACGTTCCCTTGAGCCTAGAAAACATCCAGGGATCTCAAAGCAGTCGATATCTTTATGCAATTTCACTTCACTATCATTTAACAATATTTTCATTATCATTTACATAACAACATTACCATATTATGCGAGTGAGCGTAGCCACCGAGCAAGAAGATTTTTCATTTTTATTAGTCTAAACGCTGCACTTTTAGGCCCTACAGAAACTTAAAGTGTTTTGCAGTCTTTAATTAGTATTTTCTATACATTTTGTTGTTGTTGTTGTTGTTGTTTTGTTGTTTAGCGATTTAAAAAAAAAAAAAAAAAAAAAATTGTTTGTTGTTGTTGTTTAGCGATCCCTGCTAAACAAAACAAAAATCGAGGGGGGACGTGTCCCCCCCCCCCCCCGTCCACCCGGGCTCGCCTCCCCTGACCATTAATATTATCATCACTCTCCATATCACCATCATCCATTCAAGCCAATCAGAATCAAGCACAGTGGTCCCACTGTCAGTTTTCAAAAGTCCATGTTTTGCAGAGGAACAACTGATTCATAATAGTGTTCACAACCTGTTCGCAGTCACGCTACAGGGCCGCCTAGGATTCTAGTACATGTATTCTTTTTCTTCAAAAACTATTAATTGTTAAAGTATCTCTCTTTTTTTCTCTTTCCATCTCTCCCTCTCTCCTCCTCCCCTTCTCTACAACGAAGAAAAGTCTGATTTACTGTCAAATGTGTATAGTTAACTTATCGTTTGATTCATAAAGAAAGTGAATTATTATTGATGATTTTGAGGGGTATGGTGTGCAACCATGATCAAAGCACACCTTTTCCTCTGCCGACGTGTAAGAAATCACAGGGATCATTACAATCAAAATGATTATGTGTCCAGCAGTTGCACGTGCTAGTTTCCATTAGTTACGAAATGAATCTTAAGAACTGACTCATATACTTCGAATAAAAGAGGCTGGGCTGGAAAACCCCAAACCACATTCTTATGAATACAAAAATACGTCAACACAGTGAAGTCATCCATGTCATGGCAATCAACCGATTGTAAGACAACAATAGGGCTACCCACCTTAAGAAATTATGTTATAAAAGAATTTGAGGACAAATCATGTAACTTTGAAAAAGTTCAGCTCATAAGAATAGTATGCTTCAGCTACAGCAGTGCCTGGCGCGGCCTGGATTGAGCTACAACACACTCCCTTCAAAGAATTTTGAAACAACCAATATTCGGGCATGCGTCACTTCATATTTCACAGGGAGGTGGTTTTCGCGTTGTTTCTATGTCTTATTTATGTCAATAAGGGAATTACATAAACACGCTAGAATTCATACTAAATATGTATAATTGTGAATGTCACTCTACTAAATAGTCCAAAAGTATTTTAGCTTGCTTCGTTTCGGAACTTACCAAAGATTCAGATGAGGTGCTACTTTTATGAATTGATCATTCAAAAATAATAATTTAAATAGGAGAGCATAGCCATCATTTGGGAAAACATATCTATCAGAAAGAGGACCCCTTTAATTTAGGCTTCTAATACATGTATCTCTCAGGATTATTTAAAGAAAGACAGTGATTTTAATATTTGATTGAGTAGTTGCAGTTCTATATGAAAGATCCTCAAATCAATTACCTTCGCCAACTCTAATAACTTGAATGATTATTGTGTTAATGTTAATTTCACAAAATGGAACTCACAAAGAAAAGGCAATGCGGAAGTTATTCCAGTAAACATCAGTCAGATTTCTTCCCCACCCTTTTTTTACTTTTGGAGTTGCCTACTTGCATGCCCTGTGGATAGGTTTTTAGTCACTGCTTTTTGAATAGTTATCATTTCGAATCAGCGAAAGCAGGAGATGGTCCCCCATCGACTGATGAAAAAACTAAAAAAGAAAGAAACAGCGAGAAGCCAGCGATGGGGAAAGGGAGAAAGGGGAAAGGACGAGAAAAGAAGACGACTGTACCCTCCTCTAATCAGTAGCCTTGTAAAATGCGCAATACATTTTCCAAGTAATTTTGGTGGCCGCCCTCCCCCCGATCGTTCAAGCGCCCGTTCAAAGGGTGTACTCATACTACGCCCCCCCCCCCCCCCCTCCCCGTCCACTCCGGGGTCGGTGGGACCGCATTCACGTTACCAAAACCTCCGGTAAAGGGGTACTTTTTCGCGCGACGAAGTCCGGCCCGCCATTGATTTTCACACCGGAGATAGGGGGTGCTTTCAAAAAGAGGGAACAAGCATAAGCGTACCCTAAATAACACTGCGTGGAGGGGAGGGGGGGGGGGGGAGGGGGGATGCTACGCCACTCCTTAAAATATGTACATTCAATCTAACCAGACTGTCATTTTGGGAAGCATCATGAGTGTGTTAAGCACCGATTTAGCGTCAAAACTACCTGTATTTATTTTCATTTTGTTTATATCTGTCATGCATCAATATCATCCTATGGTCATTCGATATCCGACAAATATGGCCTTGATGTAAACGTGTAATGTCACGGGTACCAGTGATTTTTTTTTTTTTTACTTCGTTCGTGAGTAAACCCAGTTATCAATGACAGTTACGTATTGACAGACTAATATAAACGGATTTTATAACCAAAACAAAAAACGATTCAATAAAAACAGAAGCAGGAAAAGAAAATACAAACTTGTCTATTCAAAAGGAAATGGGTGTGTTGATGTACTGTTTTGACTGACAGCATGATGCTACGTGTATATGAGCTAAGTATCACGATTAGGTAACACAGTTATTACTATTATACTGCTATATCACTTGAGAGAAACCACAAAGAGAGTGAAGAGTTTAGGCGAAATTCTGCGGGGCAGTATTTGAACAGGATTTGGGAAATTATATAGCTTTACGATCTAAATTAATATGAGAAGGAGTCATAAGCGATTACTTTGTTCGGAGTCGAATCTACGCTGAAATGCAATGCACTCTCAAAAGAATTATTCAACAAATTTGGAGTGGATTCTACTCTATTAAAGTGAGTGGTTCCTCTAGTGACACCTAACAATTGGTCTGTACTCCTCTGCATTAAGATATTCGTGAGAGTAGATAGATTGCTAGAAATTAGAAAGAGAGAGAAACAGAGGGATAGAGAGAAAGAGAGAGAGAGAGTGAGAGAGAGAGAGAGGGGGGGGGCACACGCTGGATACGCCATTTCATTATCGTTTAATAAAGATAAATGAGAGTGTGCACGAGCTAGGAAGCAGCGTACACGATGTCTATCAAAATCTTATAATTTCCAGGTCTGTATTGATAAATCATAATAACATACACAGTCACAACAATGGTCCCACAAAATGTTGATTAATTACAGGCCAACAGAGCGATTACAGCTGTCTTTGTTCTAGTCTACTGTATATTGTATAATGTCCCCTCTCCAATGATCATTATGATTGTATATCTCACTATCGCCGACGCTTTTTATCTCCACATCTGTTAATTTACTTCATTGTTTATTGTTCATCGTTTTAATTGTACATCATCGATATATTCATTAATTTATTCATTCATCCATACATCCAATTATTCATTCATTCATTCATTCATTTCTTCCTTTATTTGATTGCGTAACATTGCAATCAATAAAGTTGAAATGAAGTACGCTAAAAAATTCTTTCTTTCACATACATAGATACAGAAACATGAATTTCCTTGTCATGTACATGTTTACCGATATGCATATTGAGATAGCCTTACGCCCTATTAGGCTCTGATCCTTGAACAAAATATTAACATTCACAAAATGAACTTTAGACACTGAATAAACGACGAAATACGAGCATACGATTGAGAGGGGAAAAAAAATCAATTCGGCAGTCAGATTTATTTGACATCTAATCCTCGATCTGCATTATGAAGAAATGAGGGATTATTGGAATAATATTTCCATAAATGGCGTAAAGCATCCCATAACAATGAAAACAAAAATTAAAGGGCGCTCTATATTTGTGGTTGGGGGACACACATTTCAAACTCAATTAGCCCGAAAATAACACCACAGAACATACTAAAAGATTTTTTTTAAATCGTAGCTGTTTTGTGAAAACTCAGTAGAAAATAAATCTTACAACTTACCTATATCTTACAAAAACAATTCCTGATAGAATGGAATATGATCAATCCCAAATCTGCATATCAAACGGCACTTCTGTCTTTTCTTGCCAATGCTCGTTAAATAACCCAAAACAGAGTTTGTATGGACGGAAGGACTTACTAGGCAACTCTGTTTACTACGTCCAAAGTTAGGACCGGGTCACGTGATTTGATGACGTAAATTATTTTGGAGATGTTTTCAATAATTGCATTTCTTTCGCTTTTAAAGTGGAAGTCCACCATGATCTTTAGTTGCTTTTAATAGAAGCAGAATAATGAAAGAAACAGGTCAGTGAAAATTTGAGCAAAAAGCAATTCAAAGTAAGAAAGTTATGCATTTTGAAGGTGCAACCTATACATCACAAATTGGCAACTCTATGACGTATCTTGTGAGGTTCCCTCCCATTTGCCTTGTACTAACAAACTTCAAAAAAATATGTTTTCCCGTAAGAAAACTGTTAACCTTATATTTACCTTAACTATAATTTTTGCAAATATGTTTTTATACAAACCCTCCATGACACAAATCTATTCCGTCATCAATAACTAAGAAAATGAAAGTTTATGAAACTTCTGTAAAGAGCAAATTATATACACATAACTCGCAAGATAAGCTATAAGATAAGCTATAAGATATAAGCTTGAGATAAGCTCGCGAGATACATCAGTGTTGCCAATTTGTATTTCACTGATTAAACCTTCAAAAATAAATTGTCCTGCTTTTATTAAAACCAAGTTAATATCAGGAGTTATGAACAGAAAAATTGACATCTATTCTGACATTTGTCGTCATGTTTTGTCCGATCTATTCCCGGCAGGGTTATTAACTTCATACAATCATCAGCTATACAAGACTTTAAGACATGTTAGATATGGTAGGCAATGTATGGAACAAAAATAACTTGGACGTGCCCTAATACCAAATAGTACACATGGCGGTATTTGAATTATCATTTAAGATCTCTATACGAAATACAATCGTCATCATTTGTATCTAAATAGCAAAATGGAGATGCATTTCCAGGACTTCCACTATTTAACACAAATTTAACCTACATACTCATTGAAGTTTTTGGTATTACGCTATTTGTGACGTTACAAAAGTACAGACATGTAAATATTTACAGGTAAGCAGCCATACAATTGCTGCTCTAAATGTTAATCTATTTTGCTTCACTAATCATAACGGTGGCATACACTTTAGTTGGCCATCATACTTGAGATGTCATGTAGCGGACCTCAGTAATATTATGCTGGTAGTTCTCTATCAAGTGCTGTACAGCTATCCGTAACTCAACATCCAGAGGCATAGCTATTGGGGGCACAGGGACACATGTCCCATCCTCAACGAACCAATTACATTAAGAAAACTAGATTTGTAATACTTGTTTGGAACAAGTATAGGTGGGCTGATCCAACAAAAAATTGAGACAAAATGAAGGGTACATTTGAGATAGCTTTTTGTCTCAGCTACAACATACTCGAAGTTCAGCGTAAATGGAGCTAAAACGACGTAGATATTGCTCGCGAAAGACGGGAATGTAGAATCAAGTTTTGAGAAAAAGTCATGTCCCGTAGAGAATACACGCAAAATGTGAAAAATTGACATGCCTCTTTTAATCGCAAAAATACGCCATGATGCCTTTGTCAAAATGAAAAATCATGATGACTGGATTTGTAGAGAATTGTCTCAGCTAGAACATATCAAAATTTTGAAGACAATCGATCAATTTTTACAAAGATACAATCAATTTTCCAAAAATATGCGGACGTCATAATATGCAAATTGAAATTTTGAGTTCGGAGGCCATTATGATGACGTCATGAGTTAATTGAGGGTCAAATGAGACATGAAATCATGTCTCCGATTCATACTCAATCAAAATATGAAAAAGAATTGGGGTCACCTTGCATCCTAAAGAGCTACAATGGATTTTGCATAGGCATGTTTTTGCCCATATATGCTTTGTATTACAAGAGCTCGCGCGCACAGAAATTTATGTTTAACGGTCGATCATTCCGTCATTAATAGTCATAAAGAGATAAACATGCTATCAATTTGTTTGTAAAAATATGTGGAATATTATGAAAGAAAAAAAATGGCAATTCTATGTTGTGCAATAGTTTTACGCACGAAAACGCGCACGCATGTGCGTGTGCGCGATTTTTTATAAAATGCTTAGAATGGCCTAAAACGTATGCAAAATGATTTTGAAACGATTTTGAGCATTTCAAAACTTTACGCGCGCATTGACGCGCGGACGTACGCGCATGCGCGCGTTATTTGACCTGCCATTGACCGGACGGATATTGACCTTGATCATGATAAATATGAATGAGAAATACCTTTTGGTTATGAAGATATGATCATGAGTTTATTTTCGTAAAATTTTACAAAATGGCGCCTAGATGACGTCATCAGTCGAGGTCAAAGTTGAAAAAATTTCTGTGCTTTGTACATATGCCTATATATACATATGTGTGCCAAATTTCAAGGCATTTGATCCAGCCATTTTCAAGTTATCTTGTCCACAAAAAAGTGGTTAGAAATAAGAAAAATAAAGAATAAATAAATAAATAAATAATAAAGGCAATTCTAACGAAATTATAAGGTGGTCTGTACGTTATACAGCCCACCTGATAAGGATGCAGAAATAGAGAGAGTAAGATATGGGGTTAAGATTACCCAGTCATCTCCTACTCCCTCTCCGATCAATTTGCCTTCTCGAATATATCCTCTATCTAATAACTTACCAGTTCCCCCCCCCCCCCCCCCCCCCCCCCCCGGCTAGACGTACACTCAATGACATTGCCTACGCCAGGTTTTGTGTTTTAATATTTTTTTACATAACAAGTGAAATTTTCCCACCGACCTTCACACTGGCCAATGAATTCAAGATGCGTGTGTCCGACACGGATATCGATTGATTATGATCAATCTTTCCTTTCCCCTTTACTAAAGGATTTCCAAATATCAATGACCATGATGACCAACGTTAGTCAGAAAATCGGTATGTTAGCGTGTGAAACACGAGACTCCGGGATTACTGAAGGAGGATAATGACCACCATATTTCTTCCTGGGTGTACTAATACCATCGTAACATGGACATTACATATTACAAGGGCACTAGTCTTGCAAACTCTCCGACAGGACTATTCGGATATTAACAAAATTAGAGTAGGCGGCCCTTTATCAGTCTGAGGAAACCATTATATAACCATGATAGGTCCATGATATAACGGACATATTAGGTCATAAATCCTAAAAAGAGTTTGAGGAGTTCCTGATTCCAACTTTGTATTGCCTTTGGTGTAGAACAATTAGTTTTACAGAACTACAGAAGAGAGGGCGAATATTGAGAGGGGGTGGGGGCCTTCTCCGGCAAGCTGATGAAGTTTTGAATTCGCAGTATATCAAAAGAGCGTCTTTCGTGATTCAAGGGTAAAACTTGACTTTAAATTTTTTATTTTGGCGACGAGAAATATAACCATTCTGTCAGAATCTTGAGAGGGGATGTCACAAGGTACCATACTTTCCTTAGTCTAGCGACTTTCCTGATCACATAATTATGTTCATATCTTTGAAGCACCTGCTGTATTCAACGGTTTGGAAATTGCCTTTATATGGCAGCATATCAAGATCATAACAGGAAAATGGGTCACTTTCATCCAGAGGTTAATCTGTTAATTTGAAAGAGACTTTAAATAAAAATGAAAAAAATTAGGCTGTGAGCGGAAGGAAATACAGTGTTTACCGATGTCCCCTGTGCGTGACTGAGACAGGGGAATGATTTCCATAATTTCTAAAGAGCAGAGCCATCTCATTCACAGAGTTTGGCCAACTTGGTTCGAGTTGGGCATAATAGGGCGAATAATGCTATGTTGAGTAAGCACAAAACAAAGGAATGTACGCCATGTTGTGACCAACTGGAACAAAGTTGGCAAAACTCTTTTGTAGAGAGCAGAGCCATCTATTCACAGAGTTTAGTCAACTTGGTTCGAGTTGGGCATAAATGACGAATAATGCTATGTTGAGTAAGCACAAACAAAGGAATGTACGCCATGTTGTGACCAACTAAAACAAAGTTGGCAAAACTCTGTGCATAGATGACTATGCAGGAGAGGAAGGTAGAGCGCCACCTCTCCGACGTAGTACAAGTTGGAAACAAAAATGTTGACAATATAATTGGGTGAATACCGTCACGTGATCTAGTCTTTTCAAACATTATGTCTCGTAAAAGTTCAATCGGTCATAACTAAAGTTTGGTACCACAAAGAATAGTAGAAATAGTGAAACAATAATAATTTTCGAGGCGAAGAATAACTCTCAGTGCTGGAAAGCGTATAAATGTAAATTGAAATACAAAGTTGATATATGATACAGTATAATCTATCGTATATCGTGAAATGAAATTACAATCAACCCCGCCCATAATATATAATTATATGCAGTTTTACAATTATTCTTACCACTTTTATGTATATGAAATACTACTAAAATATACACATAGCAAAATAAAACATCAAGAAAGAAAAAAAAATCCATTCATTATCACTTCAGAATATTTTCATCTTACAGTAAGTAGCTTAAACATTAATCCCACATTTTAATCTTTCAAATTCCTTCCATATCTCATTCGTTCGTTGTCTTTTCTGCTTTTATAACATTCATGGTGTTTAAGGCAAAATTTAATGTTGATATCCAGATTATACAATAAAGAAAACAAGCTTTATTTACAACAGGGGGTGGTGAAACTCGGGGTCTGCTCGCTATTTAAAAGGACCGCTATTCATAAGGACAACTTTTTTTTATAAAGACCGCTGTTCATATGGACAACTATTCATAATTTAGGAGAAGGGTAATTATTCATAAGGGTCATTATTCGTAAGGACCGCTATTCATAATCGAAGAAGATGGTCGCTATTCATAATATAAAATCGAGGTTGTCATTCATAGGGGTTCCTGTTCATAATACAAGAAGAGGATCGCTATTCATAATACGAGAAGATTTAAGTTGAATAGCGAACCTCATTTCGTATTATGAATAGCGTTCCTTATGAATAGCGGTTCACGTGACTAGCGAGGTTACCCCCTGAGACACGCCTCCCTGTTTACAACCAAACATAACAATCGATACTCAATGGGCGGGTGAAATAACGAGTTCATTGAACATGTGAAGTATGTTTATCTGAAACTAAAAAAGGTGACGTGCCTCTTTTGGTGAAAAACGTTCGATTTCCTAAGCGATTTACCAGTGATGGTCTTGTAGAATTGGAATTGGAAAATGACCATTTCATTCACTAGCGCACTTCCGCGTTGCGTTTATTTACACTTTTAAATGCACTTTTATTCCACGGGAATTCACAAAGGAAATGTTTTTCTATCGAACGACAACTCAACAACAAAAAATCCCCCCCAAATCAAGTATATTTCATTAGTTTTAATCCCATTGTTTTCGTCTTGAGATTCTTTCGGTTCTATTATTGTCATATTTGGTTGTCTCCAATACTTCCCCAAGGATGAAAACGAGCAGCGTAGAGGTACAATATATAGCTCCAAATGGAGTGGTAGTGGTATATAAGTTGGTGGTGGGTGGAGGGAAGTGGTGGTAGCAATTGGAGGGGTGGGGGTGTTCATGGACCCACCCCTTCCGTTGTCTTGAATCGGGGCCTGGAATAACACGAAATGAATCGCCAGAAAATTTATTAGCAGCATAGTGGTAGTTCCGAAGGGAGTTTTAAAGGAGAGAGGAAGGGAGGGGGTGTACACGGACCCTATCTCTTCCTAGCCAGAGGTAAAACAAATGGAAACTGATTCCCCTGCAAATGACGATGCCTCTGTCAAGATGCTCGTCCTATGAAGTCAAATGACATCTGTGTCAAAAACAAAGAGCTGGGAAAACCCTGTGCAACTGCAATGATCGACATACTTTCACTTTTTTTTCTTCTTTTTTTAATACCCAAGTTATAGATATATCGATATTTTCATGTCCTATACAGATTCCATTTTATGAATTAAAATCTTGTGAAAATCTGAAGTGAAAGGGTAATTTAAAGATAAAACAACCTCAAAATGTACCATGGGAGCCTTGTACAAGCACGTGATATTCATAAACAAAAATATTGTAGGGTTATTATAAAGATTCAGAAAACATCTTGATGCTACCATCAAAGAGAACAGTCAGTAACAGGGGAAATCGACCCTGATTATAAGCTTTGTTTTCCCTCTTTGCCTTTAATGAGGTGTTTATTCACTATTTAACAATAACATTATTTCACACACAATTAAAAAAAAATGATGGAACATCAATAATACACATAAAATGTTTTCAGCTATGACTTAGCAAAATTGCAGGAAAGATCATATTTTGTCCTTTCAAAAGTTCATTTATTTTTAGTCTGTGGGTCATTTCTCTCTTGAATAAATATATCAAATTCGGATCCTTATTATCATCCCTATGCTTATTAGGAAAACAATCATTTTATAAATAGACACAAAAGCAATCGTCATGATCAAATCGATTTCGGTTTGCAAATTCATTTTGAGTAACAAAATAATATCTATCTCTATTTCTCTATATAATAATAATCGTTTTTCTTTCGCTTATAAAGCGGAAGTCCACCCTGATTTTAAGTTGATGTTAATAGCAAAAGAAAAATGAAAGAAACAGGTCAGTGAAAGTTGAGTGAAAACCTATGAAAAATAAAAAAAGTTATTAATTTTTTAAGGTGCGATAAATCAATCACAAATTTGCAACTCTGTGACGTATCTTGCGAGATCCCTTCTAATAGGCCCCGTACTAAAAAACTTCAAAAAACTGTATTTTGCCGTAAGAAAATTTTCGATCATACATTCACTCTAAATATAATTATTGTAAAGATGTTTTTTTACCGGCAAACCCCTGTACGAGACAAATTTATTTTGTATCATCAATAAGTAATGAATAGTTGAGGAAAGGGAAAAAATGAAGTTTGGGAGTCCAGCCGTAAATGGAGATATTAAGCTGTGAAGCTTATTTATTCGATCTGTAAAAAACAGATAAAATAACAGTGACAGATTTAGTATATCATTCTTGACATGAGATACAATACAAAACATCTGAATAAACCAAGTAATCTATAAAGATTCATTTAAACACATTTTGCTTTTGTTCTATAAACTGTCAATCTTGACCTCGTCCTTTAACTATCAAAAACTCAGAGTAACCAATGGTTACAAAACCTTATGCATTTTCTAATATGCATTACTTTCAAATACTCATACTTTCAGAGTTTCTAAAACTGACCAGACTTCCCTTTAAACAGATCACTGCCAATTTGCATGAACCAAAATAACTGTAAACATCTTTATCTTGCATCCATACACAAGCTTGATAATTCTCATCTATCTTCATAGCATAAATAATTCCTTCTAAAAACCTCAACAATGGATTGTCACTTTAAATGTATCGAATGACCTTCACTGACTTTGACAGGCACCTAATTTGCATATTTCTGCTCGCCTAAGAAAAACTGTCTCATAAAATGTCTTCATACAATTCAACCCTGTTTGATGAATTAAACTGAAATACCTGACTTGCTCTAAAACTTCCCAGTAATAATCTAGAGATTTACACTTCAATACAAAATAAACTATCTGGCATAACTTGTAATTTACACCTGTAATTTACATCTGTAATCCACACATGCAGTACATTACAGCAATCCTTTCGAGTTACATTATTAACTCTTAAAAATTGATTAAACACTGTCTTCAATTCTGACTCTAAATACCATGCCAGAGGTGCAAATTTTAACCTTTCACCAAGTCAATAAATGGTGTCTTGCAACTTTTAAGCAAGCTAAATCAAATTCCACAGACCAACTTTTGTCACCCAAACATAAAATGCATAAAATCCAAGATTCTAGCATGCACAAATATAAACATCCTTTATATTTAGGACTTCTATAAATATACACTGTTTACTTTATAAATGACATAAAGCAATATCTGCCTATACTGTAATTCTATTTTGACAATTATTATTTAACCTGAAAAACACATGACTAAAAGTACGTCTCATGGGCGCGGCCATTTTAGGCGCAGCCATCTTGGAATTAATGCCACACGTGCATTATGCTAATGAGTTAAATACAGTTTTTTTAGAATCTATATTTACAGTTCAACTTGAAACTATCTTATTTTCCGTTTTATGAGTTCACATTCCAGTTTATATTAATCTAAACACTCACTTCTGTGGCGGGACAAAACTTCGTCGGGAATACTTGAATGGCAACTGACGGGTTAACTGGTAAATGAGTCAAACTGGACTACATTTCTGACTGTGCACTGCGTTGACTGAAGAACATGGCGACAGTGCCGAACTTAACCTATGGTAGCTTATAAGAGCAAAAAAGAGAAAATCTAAACCAAGCAAAAATCATCGCTCGGCGAAACATCCTCCCCACCCAATGAGGGAACTTTCCTCATGAAAAACATTAACATTAAATTAACACTTGCTATATTACTGTTCGTAGCCTTCAACTGGGTATACTGAATACACTTCCACAACGCGAGCGATGGTCCATTTTCCACGTAACGCGTTGGCGTCAGCCATCAAAAACGATATCGTCGACACAAAAATTGCGACGATCAATGTTCCACTTCCATCTTGGCGTCAATAACGGGAGCACGTCTCTTCTCAAACGCTGCCAGAAGGCGTCTGCAATCCGTTGGATGAGCTCTACTCGATGCCTTGGGTTCTTGGTTTCTCGGAACGGCTCTTGTGCGACATCACTGGATGCACATCCTAACAGCATGTCATTAGGACTCAGGTAGCTCCCATCATCAGGATCAGTCGGGATTCTGCCAATCGGCGGTTGATTGTCTGGATTGGCCACCTCTATCAGGCATGTATACAGATCAAACGGTGTCAGGATTTGCTCTCCAATGGCTCTCTTGAGAGCAGACTTGCAACTCTTCACCAATGACTCGGCGCAGCCGTTGTGATGCGGGGCTATGAACGTCCATTTCGTTCCCTTTACAGTACAGAACTCCTTTAGCACACGTTGAGCACCTACAAACTGAGTACTGTTATCACTCCAAATCTGTGATTGCTTCCCTCTCAAAGCAAAGATTTGACGAAGTACTTGAACAAACTCCATCGCGGAACATTCAGTTGCAAACTCTAAATGCAGACATGTGAACAAAACTGGTGGTGTATGTGGGGCTAGTCTTTCTCTGGGTAACTCGGTCATTTCCTGTGATTCTGCCTTATGATCAAATGCTCCACACACTGCACATCTGAACTTGACAGTCTTCGCTAGTCTATGCCCCTTCAGAATCCGATACCTCCTTCTGGCCTTTGCTGTACTGGCTGCAACTCCAGTATGACCACTACTGTTGTGGACATGTCGTGTGAACTTGTCGTGTTTGAAAGGAAGCAGGTCTGGGTGTTCCCTTCCAAACGACATCTCAGCTCTATCAACTCTGCCTCCTACTCGGGTGATGCCTGTACCGTCTGTGTGAGCACTAAGGGCTTTCAGTTCTCCCATATTGTCTCTGCCTTTCAGTGACTTCTTGGCACTCTGGATCAATACTGCTTCTCCTTTCTCTAACTCATCAGGTGTCAAAGTGCCAATGTTGTCATTATCACCAACATCAATTTCCTTCCTGCACTTTGATCTCAGCTTTCTTACGAACTTCAGCACATATAGTGTCACTCCGATCAACTTTCTCCAGCTGAAGAACCTCTTGCAGTCAATGACGTCCTCTTTGTTGGTTACTATCAAGACTGATTGTTCTTCTTTACCTCTTTCTGATTCAACTTCAGGCACCTTTCCCTCTAGCTTTGGTTCTTCTGGCCACTCTGACTTTGGTTGGCACAGAAAATCAGGTCCGTGCTGCCATCTGCCGTCAAACTCATCTTCACTCAAATCTTGGGTGAGATCATCTGCAACATTCACCTCTGCTTCTTGCCTGCTGATACCACTAGGATGGCACTGCACTGGATCATGACAAACTTCAATTGGTTCTGTCGTCCAGAAATCATTGAAGTCCACTGAGTTGGCAAGCATAACATTCATAACTGTACTCTTGGTTGGCTGTTGCTTTGAGGTAGCTCCAAACACTACCCATCCTAAAGGTGAATGCCTTGCCAACATATTCCCTCTCTCTCTGGTTTCTCCTTTATGAAGCTTAGCATGGTCGGTTCCTACTAACACATCGATGGATCCAAAACCACGGTGTAGAAGATCCTTCTTCAGGTGGAATGTCCTTGCAAGCTCATCAACCCGAACTTCTGCTACATTATCGTTGATGCACTCCAACCCAAGTGCCGACACTCCGTAAGCCTGCTTGCCTTTAAGGGACTGTAGTCTCATCCTATACAGTTTCGTCTGTACTTCTTCAACATGGCCTCCGATCTTAGTGATGTTGATTGTGATCGGTTTCCCAACCAAACCCATGTCTTCTGCCATTGACTGCTTCACCAGACTTATCTGGGCTCCTGAATCTAGCAGACAGTTGACTGTTGAGCTCTTCTGATTGGGACCAAGAACTTTCACCATAACCACTGGCAGTAGGGCCGACTTTCCAGCTACACTGGCTACTATCTCACTTCTGGTTTGGACTTCCCTGTGCAGAAGAGGATGATGGAATGAAGAGCACTGCTCCCCATTTATCTCTTTAGAGCACCTCTTCCTTCTCTTGCAGGTTCTCATGTTGTGCTCTCTGCCTGCCTTCTTGAGACAACTGAAACAAGCATGATTGTCTCTCATTAACTGGAATCTCTCTGTCTGACTCTTGGAGAGGACCTTCTTACAGTGATCAACCCAATGCTCCGATGATTTACAGATCCAGCATTTGTATTGGGTATACTGGTTACTATCATTTCTCTGTTTACTGTCCTCAGCACTAACGTGGTGGACAGTGCTCTTCTGTCTGCTGCTACTAGTTGCACTTCTAAGTGGTGCAGTGGCCCGCATACGTGTCATCATCTCCGTCTCCATCCAGTCCAGTAAGTGCTGCAAACTGACATCCTTGTCAGCACTTTCTACATGTCTGAACCACACCTTCCGGTCTTCGAGGGTCATCTTGCGCTCTATTAGAGCCAACGTTTGGCTGTTGTCAATGTCTTGTGGACAGCCAACTTCCTTCAGTGTATTGAAGCTTCGCCTCAACAGGTGCACCAGATCGCAAAATCTGGAGTCCTCTCCGTCCCTCAAATCCCTAAAAGAATTCACATCGTAGATTATGGCATCTGCTATAAATCGCCGGTCACCGAAAACAGAGTTCAGGTATGCCCAAGCAGCATCGTAATCGTTGCCTACCCCTCTTATCATGTCCAAGGGCTTTCCCTGGAGGCAGGTACGCAGTATGGTGACAGCATCTCTCTTGCTATATCGAGTATCGATGAGATGATGAAAGTCCGATCGAAACGTAGCAAACTCTCTCACGTCACCGCTGAACTTTGGAAGTTTTGGGCGTTCCATCTGTACTTTGCAGGAGGTGACAACACGCGAGTCAACCTCTGCCTCTCTGCTCACAGTCTCATTTTCTTGCCCTGCTGTCTCTGCGGCTGCAGACGATGCAGCAGTAGCTTGGCTTGGACCATCACTTCCATCAGGTACAGTTACAATTGCCTTTGACTTGGCATGGTCCCTTATTCTCATCTGCATATCAATGAATGTAGACTGGCAGCTTTCCAACCAGGCTTCCTCTTTAGTGAATTCATCATCATCATCAATGGTCTCACAGAAGGCCTCATGCCTTTTCTCTAAGTCTATAAATGTAACTTGCAAACCTTGGAAAGCTTCGTCGACCTCCTCAAGGTCCCTGTCATGGTCCAACAAATGCTGCAAGGCGTTGGACATCCGGGTTAACTTAGCCTTTGCAGTTCTCCTCTTGATCTTGAGGTCCTTCACATCTTGTTCAGTTGTCATCTTGGTTAACTTAATCCCTTCGTCTCCTATTCCAGGTCAGCGAAGAAATCGAATGCAATGAATAGTTGAGGAAAGGGAAAAAATGAAGTTTGGGAGTCCAGCCGTAAATGGAGATATTAAGCTGTGAAGCTTATTTATTCGATCTGTAAAAAACAGATAAAATAACAGTGACAGATTTAGTATATCATTCTTGACATGAGATACAATACAAAACATCTGAATAAACCAAGTAATCTATAAAGATTCATTTAAACACATTTTGCTTTTGTTCTATAAACTGTCAATCTTGACCTCGTCCTTTAACTATCAAAAACTCAGAGTAACCAATGGTTACAAAACCTTATGCATTTTCTAATATGCATTACTTTCAAATACTCATACTTTCAGAGTTTCTAAAACTGACCAGACTTCCCTTTAAACAGATCACTGCCAATTTGCATGAACCAAAATAACTGTAAACATCTTTATCTTGCATCCATACACAAGCTTGATAATTCTCATCTATCTTCATAGCATAAATAATTCCTTCTAAAAACCTCAACAATGGATTGTCACTTTAAATGTATCGAATGACCTTCACTGACTTTGACAGGCACCTAATTTGCATATTTCTGCTCGCCTAAGAAAAACTGTCTCATAAAATGTCTTCATACAATTCAACCCTGTTTGATGAATTAAACTGAAATACCTGACTTGCTCTAAAACTTCCCAGTAATAATCTAGAGATTTACACTTCAATACAAAATAAACTATCTGGCATAACTTGTAATTTACACCTGTAATTTACATCTGTAATCCACACATGCAGTACATTACAGCAATCCTTTCGAGTTACATTATTAACTCTTAAAAATTGATTAAACACTGTCTTCAATTCTGACTCTAAATACCATGCCAGAGGTGCAAATTTTAACCTTTCACCAAGTCAATAAATGGTGTCTTGCAACTTTTAAGCAAGCTAAATCAAATTCCACAGACCAACTTTTGTCACCCAAACATAAAATGCATAAAATCCAAGATTCTAGCATGCACAAATATAAACATCCTTTATATTTAGGACTTCTATAAATATACACTGTTTACTTTATAAATGACATAAAGCAATATCTGCCTATACTGTAATTCTATTTTGACAATTATTATTTAACCTGAAAAACACATGACTAAAAGTACGTCTCATGGGCGCGGCCATTTTAGGCGCAGCCATCTTGGAATTAATGCCACACGTGCATTATGCTAATGAGTTAAATACAGTTTTTTTAGAATCTATATTTACAGTTCAACTTGAAACTATCTTATTTTCCGTTTTATGAGTTCACATTCCAGTTTATATTAATCTAAACACTCACTTCTGTGGCGGGACAAAACTTCGTCGGGAATACTTGAATGGCAACTGACGGGTTAACTGGTAAATGAGTCAAACTGGACTACATTTCTGACTGTGCACTGCGTTGACTGAAGAACATGGCGACAGTGCCGAACTTAACCTATGGTAGCTTATAAGAGCAAAAAAGAGAAAATCTAAACCAAGTAAAAATCATCGCTCGGCGAAACAAGTAAGAAAATGAAAGCTCATGAATTTGTCCGTTAAGAGCAAACTGGAGAGAAGCTCGCAAGATAGGGTGCAGTGTTGCCAATTTGTAACTGATGACAACTTCAAAAGTTCATAACTTTCCTATTTGTATCGGATATTGCTCAAACTTTCACTAATTACCTTATTCTGTTCACCATCACAGAGTCACTCTTTCATAGTGTTATCCAAAATATTGGTCAGATGTCATTTTTTAAAATAACTTTCCCCTGATATTATGGAGTCATCCACACTACCTCTCTAAAACAAGATCACCCTCGAACATGCCCCTCTTTCTCCTGTTTCTTCGAGAGGTGTTCAGACGTACATTTTCTCTTGGTCTTATTTAACTAAATTTAGAATGTGTGGAACTCCATTCATTGGAATAACATGGGGGAACTTATTTCCTTGGTAAAACACTTTGGTTTCACGCTTTAATATGTGAGTCGCTTTTCTGTTTTTTTTTCCCTTCTTTTTTAAATCATTAATTACGATTAAAGATTTACAAATACAGGAACGTCCAATACGCAATCAGAACTAATGCAAAATGTGTCGGTCCAAACTATATCATGAAAATGATTCAAAAGGGACATTAACCAACATAATTTTTCCTTTTGAGTATTTTAATATCCCACGATGATTGGCAGCTGCTGTGATTAGTAGAATCTATCAAACGACATCAGCCATAGGCTAGGGGTGTTTCACAAAGACTAAGTTGGACTTTAAGTTGGAATTAACTATGGCCGGCCTTTCATGCCACTGGTTGCTCTTACCATTGTTCTCTCAATTAATCTTTAGATAATATTTTTTCCTCCAATGATGGACTATCAAAAATGGTAAATTATTTAGATTTGTGACCACGATTTGTACGTAACTTGAGAGAACAATGTCAGTAAATGGTGAGAGCAAACAGTGGCATGAACGGCCTGCCATAGTTAAGTCCAACGTAAAGTCTATCTTAGTCTTTGTGAAACACTCCCACATTCTAGTTGATTAATAATGAAAACGAAGAATGGTGACAGGTTTGCACTGATGCATTTTTGATCATATTTTAAGAAACCAGTTCACTTCTAGGGCCAATAGATCCGGAAATTAGGGGCCGGAATTATTATGCCCGGAAAATGTGCCCCTTCCCCAGTGAAAATTGTTGATCCGCCTCTGGTACTCAATACTGCCACTGTGATATCAAATGTTTGCCCGCCCTCTTTTTCACCATCTCTCTCTCTCTCTCTCTCTCTTTCTATTTCTCATTCTCTCCCACCATCATTCCCTCTTTCCTTCTTAAAATCTTCTACTAATTCTGACATTTGCCTTCTTTAAAAGCTCTAGTCCGACACACGCTCGTACAAACATAACACGCCATTTCTCAAGCACAGACATTGCGTTAAAAATGCTTGTCAACGGAAAATAACTTACCCCGACACAGAGCATGAAATATCCGTTCTTGTATTTATGATAATCGTTCCACTACGATATTGCATGAAATTTGAATGAATTTTATGGCTGATTTACCTCAATCGGGACCGCAATATCAGATCTTAATCTTCTTGCGTTTACTCATCTAAACTGCCTTGTTATGAAAACCTCTTCGACCTGGTTTACTGTACAAATGTATCAGTGCACAAGACAAAATTGAATTCGACCAAGAAAAATACAACGAAAGATTATACGGGCCGCTGGTGCTCTAAAGCAGTTAGGAACCCGTTGGGTATTTATTTTGTGCGAATTCCACAATTGAAATTTGAAGGTGATCTCTTTGAACTGCAAGCTGTGCTCCATTCAACCTTATCTTAAAGGTAGTGTAACTGATGTCGAGGAAAATATGGGAATAAAAACGAGAAATACGACTGAACTATAACGAGAAGAATGAAGTTGAAAATGTCGCCACAAACAAATAGAGGGAAAATGTGCTGTTTATACACTTCCAAGGGCAACTAAGGTGTTAACATTTTCCTTGTGACTACCTCGAAACGTTTGCAAATACTAACGGAAAAAAAAACATGTTTCAATCCAGTTCCTTTTTGCATTTTACATTCAAGGAGAACGTCCATTCAGCGAGGGCATGATCAAATTGTTTTCTTATTCTTCCGGACATCATTTCATTCGGAATTTTTGTCTACTCTTGTTTTAGTCCTTGACGCTTTGGATTTATTTAAGTTAAGAAGGTTAAGTTAAGAAAGTTGACTTTAGTGCTTTGTCGGAGTTTTTTGTTTTACCTTATAACTATCATCCTCGATTATTTGATGTCATTTACGTGTACAACTGATTTTCTCACTTCACGATGCCCACAATAGCAGCAATTTAATGACCTTGTAATCATGAAGAACATAAAAAAAAATGTGGCCACATAAGCCGGATCACTAACGCATTTCAATAGCCTTATTCTTTTTCTTTCAGCACGTGTACACATCTGAAGTTTAGTAAATTTATTAAACAAACAAACAAACAAATAAGAAAAAAAACATCAAATATTCTTAGGGATCATGAGCCCTTCGACCCCTGGTAACCTCAGCCCAGAAACGTCCAGAAAGGATCAGAACCAGATGGAACTAAAACTGACGATTTGTCTAAAAACCACAAGACCAGTCAGATTGCATGCACATGGCAGGGATATTTTGCCACAAAGATCGATGTGAAAAGGATCCATCTTCTCATGGATGAAACTTTATGGAATTGGATATGTGCCATACATGCGGTCATCAACCAATCAAATGCAAGCGATTTTGTGTCAGTCGACCTTTTTGGGACAAGATGTCAAGAGAGGTGCAATCGGTGCCTTTGTGTGGGTGTGGGTGTGCGTATGTTAGTGATTGTGCGTGTGTGGAACAAACACGGTTCACTTTTATCGAATGCGCAAGCATGAAGAGAACGTCGTTCCATAGATATGATCGACCCTAAAGTTGCATCTACTGCTGTCTTTATCTTCATCAGATTCGGTTAATAGAAACCTGATAAAAAGAAATTCCCCATATGCTTTGACCCGTAAAATCAATGGGTACAA